TTGAAAGAAAATATCTCAACAGCCACCAAGCCAAATTTAATAAACTTTTCTTTATTTGAATTATACTGGTTTGTAGAGTTTAAATAAGATAAGCTCATCAAATTTGACTTGGTGGTTGTCAAAATATCTTCGTTCAAAGTTTTTAAAAAAATTAAGAAATATGATACAAGAAAAGGCTTGAAATTTTCCATATTATTTAGCTGCACAAACAACCAACTAAAAAAGCGAAAATAGAAGAGGAATCTTGGGAATTTTTATTTGTTAGCAAGAAATTTAGATTTATACGCAAAAAAAGCGCCAAAATTGGGGAATTTGGCCGATTTTCAGCGTGAGAGATGATCGGCAGGGGTCATACTAATTTGAAAAGAGCGATAATTTTGACATCAACTATAACATATTTATTTTATTTATTGATATGAATCTACTAACTGATAAATAAATGTAATTTTTACAGTTTGGTTACTTGCTTTCTATTCAAAAACAATATGCTGATGCAATTACATCATTTCATAAAGCTCTTGCAATTGATGGAAACCATGTTCCAACTCTTATTCATTTGGCTAGAACTTATATTGAGACAGATAATATCGATATTGCTGAAGGTCTTCTTGAGAGTGTCACTAAGGGCAGTGGTTGGGACTGTGCAGAAGCTTGGTATTTATTATATCTTTCAGATATTGTTTTTCTGTCATGAATTTAAAAATATAGTGTGGTTCACATATTAATGATTATTAATACTATTTTTACTTACTTTATTTTCAATTAGGCTATATTTAGGCAAAATATGTCAAAATACCAATAGAGTTAAGAGAGCTAAAGATTGTTTATGGTATGCTTTAGATCTAGAAGAATCAAGCCCTGTGAGGCCATTTAGCATATTACCTGCATGTTTATGAAATTTCATGTGTAAGAATCTTGAGTTATATTATATAATTAATTTATAATATTTAGAAACTATAAAACTATTCATGATCTGTTTTGTGATCCTTATGTTTGGTATATTTTTTTCTTTATTTACCAGGTTTATACAGTATAATAGAAATTTTATAATTTTGGTTCATGATTAAATAAAATATTATTTTTAAAGTTTAAAAATAGCTTGTGGAAATCTGTAAATTTGAAATTAATAAATCATTACAATTTTTTATAAGATTTATTTATATATTTGTTTATTTTTATGAATATTTTTTTGTTTTGTGATTGCTAACTTATTACGTCCGGAATGTGTACCAGATGGGGCGGAAATCTCCATTCACATACGTATCAATATGTAAAGTTTAAGCATCCATATTAATTTGTAAATTTTTCATAACGATAACGGCCAAGTCAGGGTTGTGAATAGACAATAGACACAGTCTATATAATTTAAAACAATCTGATTGGTTAATTTTAGATATCATTATTTTGCTAATATATAAAAGAACAACTAAGACCAATGGACAAACCAATAGAATTCCAATACAATTAGACAATGAAATTTCAGGTAATGATATAATTTAGGCCAGGTGTTGACAATTTAACCGGCCAAGCATATTTTTGGCCGGCCAAAAAACGGCCAATTTGGCCAAATTCATATGTTTTTTTAAAATTGCCAATACATGCGTATCATGTTTTGTGATAAAAGACCCACTTCAAAATTTGTAAATTACGATATGATTTATATTCTTCATTATAACAAAAAAATGGTATTTCGTATTTAATACTATCTATGGTTTTTTTTTCTTTTACGCCAAAACTATTGAAGCATCTTTGAAAATGGCATTTTGAGAAATCAAACTCGAAATTTGATTGGTTGGCACTCACCCAATGCTAAGATTTTTTTGCTACATATTTAACATTTATAAAACCTACTAAAATTCACATATAGTTTTTTATTAATAATTATTACTCCCAAACCCTAAACTAACTAGGTTAATGCGTAGCATTGTGAGGCCGGAGCGAAAATATTTTAAAATTTTAAACAAGAGTAAATTTAGATCTCGCACCCTCTAATATCTCGCGGGTCACATGCAACGATTTTATTAGACAATATTGATATACATTAATTAATTTAAAAAAATAAACAAAATAAAATAAATAAAATCTAATTTATATCGTAAATTGCAATCGATATATATGTTATAAGCAGAAGCGGAACTTAAGTGGATTCGGAATTTTATATAAAACCTCATTTTTCGGGTTGATTTTACCATATGTACACCCGTACCCTAACCCTAATTTAACTAAGAAATTTCGAATCCACTTAAATTCCGTTCCCATTACAACATATATATACATCGAGATGGGAGAAATAGTAATAATAATTGCAACAAGTATCGGCATCATTGGTCGAATTCGTAATGCGTAGCATCGGTTGGTGGTTTCTACACTGCGTATCCATAACGACGTAGCGGTAATTATCGCACCTACGAACGACGCAACTTCTATAGTTAATACAGAAAAAAAAAATTTAAAAAAATAAATGTCGATACAGCAATCTTCCGTTTCCGAAATGTATTTAATTAATTCATCGAAAGTCGATAATCTATTATATTAAAAAAATAAAAATAAAAATTTAGTAAACACTAAAATAAAGTATTAAACTAGTCAGATACTATGTTGCCTATTACTCCAAGTTCCGACTCGACACCTCTAAAAAGCCAGTAACAACACTAACACTTGCTAAAGGGCCAGTTAACTGGGTCCTACTCACTTGCCAAAGAGCCAGTAAAGGCGAACCTACTTAGACACTCTTATCAAGCCAGCACGAGGCTGCTAATAGCGAACTAGACACCCTTATCAAGCCATATATCACTAATAGTCGACTCGTCACTTTTTAGAAGCCAGTACAGACGATCTTGGATCTCTTGTAATAAGCCAAGGTTGCTCTATTAAGGAAAGTTCATACCAATTCCTCATCCAGAATCAGTCGACCCCAATAGGCATACATGCAGAAAGCAACCTTCTGTTCCCGAAATGTTCGCAAACATAATACTAACCTTCGTTCGTTGCCTTCGTTGGTGTAATATTATTATCCTCAAATAAAAAAGGTTTTTGAAAAAGCGTTTTTAATGTTAAAAAAACCGACAGCTATAGAAACGCGAAGGTTTGTTTAAGCAGTAAAAGCACATCAAAATAAACATCACTGATCAGGATTATCAAACAGGAGGAAACGTTGATGTTACACAACTGATTTTAAACACGGTGTGAAACACATAAAAAAATTATTTTACAATACTTTATCGGACTTGATCAGTCAGTTAGTACATGTTACGATTATAATCCAACACCATTTTTTATTATAAAAAAATGATGTTGGATTATAATCGTAACATGTACTAGCTGACTGATCAAGTCCGATCAAGTATTGTAAAATAATTTTTTTATGTGTTTCACACCGTGTGTAAAGTCAGTTGTGTAACATCAACGTTTCCTCCTGTTGGATTATCACGATCAATATCGCATAAATCACATGGACTTTAACCAATCATATTTCAAATTAGATCGTCGAGTCTGCATCTTGACGGGTCACGGGTCGAAAATTGCCTTGACCCGGGTCAAACGATTGGTTTTTCCTAACATAAAAATTATAAGAATTAAAAAACTCAAATTATGAGCAAGGTTGAGAAATTTTTTGATACAAATTCCAGTACACTATAAAAAATCTTGATTAGTGATTATTATATGACCTGCACTATGCTATACACCCTAATGTTATACGTACAGTATTCTAATTAATATAATTTTACTATATAATTGATAATTAATTGTATATTTGTAATAGCCCTGTTACACACACTATCTGTAACAGCCTCGGAAGAAATAGGTTCGGAAAACAAATTTTAATTATTTATCAAAGGTCCAAAAATATTAGTTACATTAACCAATCAGATTATAAAAATTTTGTTTAATATTATTATAAACTTTACACTACTGCAATTTCTATTATAATTTGATATTGTAGTCTATTATGAAACTTCGCAATTTAGCAATTGCAATAATGTATAGTATGTTGTTGAG